GGAAACCCAAATTCTTGCCTACTTTTTAGTAATTTACCTTATGAATCATTACTTCCCATTTTTAGTGTCATCCAGAGATTTCTTCTAAGAAACCAGGATTGAGTGTAGGTCATCAATTCTCTTGAGACTTTTTCATGTCAGTAAATAAATTTCAACACATTCTTGTTAATGGCTACAAAGTAGTATAGTAAAGGTGTACTATAATTTATAACAGGTTACATTTTTAATAGTTCAATAGAATTTAGCTTTCTTTGAGGCTGAGGTGGAGGGAAGTGAATATGATTTTTCAGAAGCAGCAACAAAATGGGGAATTGAAAGTGCAGACCAAGGGAAAATATTTCTTTAGTAGGTACTTACGTTTTTACACCTGTATATTTTAAAACAAAGTAATTCCTAATGGGTTCTGTATGTTACTGTACCTGTTGATCTCTTACACTAGGGATATTCCTGAGGAAGAGGAATTACTGGAGCAAGAACGTTCTCAGGAGGCTCAGCTTTTCTTTGCTTATCTATAGGAATGCATGATTTTTAGTGTGACTTGGTATCGCTTAGATCAGTGTGACTTTAAAGTCAGTGGAGTTTCTGAAGAAACAAATGAGACATCTAACAAATTTACCTGTGAAAACGAGGCTGGAGTATGCAGCTAACTGATAACTATTGAACAGTATTTTATAGGTTGAATCACTATATAATTAATGAGAGAATGGAACTTAGTCAAGTGGAAAAGAACTGATTTTAGTTTATGGACCGTGCATATGACAATAGTCCCGTAAAATAATGGACCTGAAAAATTATTATCACCAAGTGACATTGCAACCATTTTAGCTGTCATAGCACATGTGTTAAATGTTTTTGGTGATGCTACTATAAATAAACCTGCACTGCCTGTCATAAAATTACAGTAAATATGTATAGTACATTATACTTGATAATAAATGACATTGGTTTATATATTTATGCATTTTATTATTTTGGAGTGTACTCTTTCTACTTTGAAAAAAAGTTCGCTGTAAAACGGTATGCCATGCTATCCCGGCAGCAGCGTTATACATCTTGTGTACACCATGTCTCTTGATAGCGTCATTTTCTCTTGTGGTTGATTTGATCTTGTGTTTTATAAGTTTAGTGTAGCCTAAGTGTACAGTGTTGATGAAGTCTACAGTAGTGTATAGTAATATCTTAGGCCGTCACATTCACTCTCCACTCACTGACTCACCCAGAGCAACTTCCAGTCCTGCAGGCTGTATTTATGGTAAGTGCCCTATACAGGTGTACCATTTCTTATCTTTTATATTGTATTATTATTGTATGTTTAGATATGTTTAGGTGCACAAATGCCATTGTATTACAATTGCCTATAGTATTCAGTATAGTAACATGCTGTACAGGTTTGTAGCCTAGGAGCAATAGGCTATACCATACAGCTTATGTGTGTAGTAGACTAGACCACGCAGGTTTCTGTAAGTACACCATGATGTTCACACAACGATGAAATCACCTAACAACTCATTTCTCAGAACATATCTCTGTTGGTAAGTGGCGCATGACTCTATATGGGAAACATAATTTCAGAGAGGTTAAATGGCTTGTCTAATGAGTTTGGCTTCAAAGAGATAGAATAATAAGTGTGTGGTCTGTAGAGCTATATTGCCTGGATTTGAACTGTCCTCTAGCACTTACAGACTAATTTCTGAGACTTAATTTTTTTTTTAATCTGTAAAGGGAGATGGTAGTTCTCAGATTTTTTGGGGGAGAAATATCAAATAATTGATGTAAAGGGCTTACCTCAGAGGCAGCACTTAATATTAGCTAGTATTACATATTTATTCTATCAGTGATTCCCTAACTTTGCGATTTGGTGAACCAATAGATGAAAAAGCAGGGAGGTGAGCAAGATGGAACAGTCTTCTAATAATGCCAAGTGAAGCTATTAAAAAAATAAAAAGATTATCACCACAATCTTCATAAAAGAAAGGACATTTTAAAATTCAAGTTGTAGTGTAGGCTTTAGTCTCTGAATGAAGGACTGTTTTTTAAATTGAATAAATTTAGCTTCATAAAAGACAATATAATTCTTATTTTTCTTATTTCACCACAAATTAGGAATTAGATGGTTTGTAAGTTTCCCTCCAGTTCTGAAATAATTCAGTTCTAATATTCATATTCTTCCTTAGTCTTTTCTGCTTCTATACTTTTCCCCATCTAACTTAGAAATAACTGGTTGACAGTCTATAGTATATTTACCTATGGAACCTGTGAATGACTGCTTTTAGAAATCGTAGAATTAGAGACCACATTCAAATGAAATTGGACTGGTGAAAAAAGTGGGCACTATAAGAAAATAGCATAGACAGTAATATACAATCATTCATCTAAGAAACATTGGCGGCCTACTATGTACCAAGTACTATGCTAGATGCTAGGCATATGACAAACCAACAAATAAATGGTCAATGTCCTTTGGAATTTAACATTTGGATTACTCCTATCTCCGAGGCCAGGTAGGTTCTTGAGGCTTCAAAATAAATATGACATATTATTAGAACTTTAATTTTAATTGAAGAAGGAGTGGGGGTGGGAAGACAATTTATACAGCAATTTAAAATTTATATTAACATAAAAAGCAATGGCTTGTAAAATTTCATGGATTAAAAGAATATAATAAAGACAGTTTTACTCTTGTAAGAGCCAGTTTGGGCTATAGTTTCCAATTGGCATGCATAGTTTTGCTTTCCTCTGCCTCTAGATTGATAATTCTTTATCTAGGTTGATGATTCTTTATTTAGCTTGCATTAACATCATTTGAGGGAACTTGTTAAAAATACAGATTCCAGAGTCTTAGAGATTCTGATTCAGTAGGGCTGTCTGTGGTGAAGCCTAGAAAAGGCTTTGAAAAAGACTCCGGGGAGATCCCATTTGGTAGTGGTGGTCTGTAGATCTTTCTTTGTGAGATCTTGCCTTAGGGGTACTTCAGAAGTTTCACAAGGCACTAAATTTGAAAGAGAAACACCCACAGTGAACCTTGGCAATATTTCTCCATTAAAGAAATTCATTTTTTTTTTTTTGCTTTCTAGCCCCACTATCTCTGAATGCTGCCAATTTAGCATACTTTCAAACTGTAAAGATTAATTCCAGATTAGTACTGTAGAACAGGTCAGTTTTAGAAAAAGTCCTTGAGAAATTCTTGTCAGATATATGGCTAAAGTGTTTGCTGTAGGAGGCTGCCCTGATTCTAGTTTTTCAGCTACATTTGTATCTCATAGCTCTTTTTATTGTTTTAATAAATTTACATTATACATGAATGTATAATGAATGGTTTTAAATCTGGCTTAGAGTTGTATGTGCCCATAAAAATAGCATTCTATTTGTTATCTTCGTACCTTTTAGGGATCGCAGTGCTCTCCAGCTGACGACCACCAGGACGGACCTATAGTTGAATAAACATGGGTTTACTCACTGCAACAAGAGAATGCTCACCATGAGCAACTGTGAAGTGTCTTAGTAAGAGGTTGTTAGAAATGACGTAGGATTTGGGCTCGGGTTTGGTGAAGGTTCAAGTAGGCCATTGTTCTGGATTGGACTGCTGTCAGGAAGTGGTGATAACTCTATGATGAGGCATCTTAATTCATATCTAAAACACAAGAATGGCTAAAACTGAAGAGTAAAGAAATGACAGTCACTTATATTAGCCAGCATAGGGGCTGTTAGGTTATTTTTGTGTTTTGGACAATGTTAATGTTTTTTCTGTGTTCAGACATGATTATGAGTGGCCTCGTTTTATTGATTCACCAGGGTCACAACGGCCTTGGCTGATGCTGTTGTTCTGTGAAATTGTTTATGTTTGACTGGAGAGCACAGTGGGCTAACTGTGAGTGCCAGGCCAACTCCAGGCTATCAGGGCCTGCTTTTCTCTTTCTCAGGGTTAAAATAAAGGAAAAATACTTTCGTATGTGTGAATAGAATCTAGACACATCCAAAATATTCAACAGTAGTTATGTGTTGAAAAGGCCGAAAGGCAGCTCAGTGTAGGGGAATAAGACTGGGATTACTTTTCTTAATTAGCCCCATAATTGCCCTGTGAACTTGACAATAACATATTTGTTGAGCATCTACTATATGCCTTGATGTGTCCTATGTGTCCGGTACTTTACACGTATACAATAACATTCCAGGCAAATATGTTTTGATCATCCCCTTTTTATACATAAGTAGACAATAACATTCCTAGAACAACCAAATTATTAAGTGGAATTGCTGATATATTAAGGGATTCTATGCATTATGAACCTACTCAGTTTCCACTACATCAGGATGCCTATTTATTTAGAATTTTAGTGTCGGTAGGTATAGCAATAGAGAGAAAATACATACATGGCAGGACTGTTCTGAGGCTCAAACGCTAGCATATATCTGAAAGGCACCTAACACAGTAACTGGCTCCTGGTAGACAAGCCATAACTAAGTTTTCTTTCAGCAGAAAGGAGAGACCACTGATTTTGAGTACAGGTGAATTGACAAAGTAGCCTTTTTTGATTGACTCTGAGGATTTTAACCCTCGGGTCACGGAAAAGCCAGGCTGAAAAAAAATCTTAGTATCACAGATTCAGAGTTTAGAGCTCCAAGAAATTGTCGAGGTCATTTCTTACAAATGAGGAAACTGAAGCTTAGAAAAGGGAAGTTGATGTGCAGAGTATCTGTGTCGGAGCTAGGCCGACAAACCAGATCTTCTCAGTCCTAGGCTCATTTGCTTTTCAGGGCACAGAGCTGCCTCCCTTCTTGGTATGCAATCTTACAGTTAAAAGTTTCTAAACGTTGTTATTCCGTGCAGTCGGCAACCTAAGTATTTCTAAACGGATTATAATAGCATTATTTCCGGGGATCAGTGTTCGAGTTCACCCTGGTGGAGAGGACCCGGGACAGGGGAGGCAGGATTTCTTCGCAGAGCTCTGGGCCTGGAGTCCTGACCACGAGGGCCAAGGGCTGCGACTCCGCCCCTTGAGGGACAGGGGCGGGGCGATCGCCTCGTTCCTGTAGAGCCGCCAGGAAGGAGGAAGGGCTGGCCCAAGTGAGCCTGACGCCAGGGACCCCGCAACTGCTTCAGCACCCGGTGCCATGTCAGCGCACAACCGGGGCACGGAGTTCGGTAAGGGCCCCGCAGGTCGCCCCGTTCCCCTTTCCCCGCCTCCGGCGCGTCCGCCTCCTGCCCTTTGCCTCCTCTCGCAGCGCGGTCTGACCGCCACCCGCCGCCCGGATCGTGGTGCTCGTGGGCCGGGAAGTGGCGGCACCGGGACCGCTCCCACCCCAAGCAGAAGCACAACCGGGAGACTTAACTCTTGGGCACGTTGACCCACCCTACTGGCCTTGGCACCCAAGCTGCCTTTTTGTAAGCGGAAGGAATAAGAAAGGATTCAACCTTTACCTTTCAATTTACTACTTTACCTTCTAGCTCCCCAGTTGCAAAGAACAAAAACAAACCCCCCTAACCCCAAACAAACAAAACCAGATAAAAACCCTCCTTGCCCACTCTGACTATAATCCTGTGCTGTTTAATGCTGAGTTTCCACAGATAATTTTAACGCAGCTGTATCCCAAAGATGTCCTTACCGATAGAAAGTTGTCAGGCCTATCTCTGTACTATATAACTTATTGAAAAATATGTGTGATTTTAGAGGTACAAAGATTTGTAAAAGTGCCTGAATCATTTCACTATTTTTCATTTCATTAATATTATCAAATATTATTGAAAAGAAAATTTAATTCTGATTTCCAAAATGTGAAAAGTTTTTAATTCCAACAGTAAACTATGATTGGCCAAAGGTTAAGGATTTTAGTTTAAATATTATAGCTTGGGGATCTGTATCCTGGCTCTTCAATTTAGCTGTGACTTTGGGCACATTACTTAATCACTCTGTGCTTAAGTGTCTTAATCTGTAAAATGGTTATAATAGTATTTATTTTATAAAGTTGTTTGAAGATTAAATGAGAAGATGTAAATTGTTTAATACATTGTGGATACCTAGTAAATATGAATAACTAATAGTAATATAGAGAAAGTTCTGTTTATAGGGGCTAATTTTGAGAAAATTAGTTATAAGTTATATATAACATATATAGGTACTTTTTTCCCCCTTTAAAAGTGTATGTTCTAACTAAACAGTCTAGACTTCAAGAGATGGTCCAGAACTTTTGTTGAATGGTTAAGAGCGTGACTTTATAAAACAGTTGATTTCCTCACCAACATGATTCTCCTTTAGTCACTTCCCTTTACGAGATTATGTTTTAAACTCAAGTTCTATCTCTGAAATTTGGACTTTAGTAATAAAGGAGTATTCTCTAAATTGGAAGAGCCTGAAAAATGGTGGATGGAGAATAGGGATGGGGTGCAGGTCTTACCTTGGTATCTTCAGAGGTGTGGCTGTGGGACTTTGTACTGTACACACAAAGGATGCATCATTATTTTCCCAATTCATTTTTCCCATTTATTTTTCTTTCATAAATACAATTAAAACATTTTTACTTTTTTAAATTGAGATATAACTGACATATAACATTTTTACTTAATTTGTAAGAATTGCTTCCATTCACTTGTTGAAATATAACAACATAGGCAAAAAAAACAATTACTATGTAGAACAATAGTAAATGTGATTTTTATGCAGCGATTTTTACTTTTTTTTTAGGTGAGGCAACCCTTGGTTGACCTCACAGATTGCAAAGACCTTGTTAGCTTACAATCCCTTATTTTGTATTTATTTTTATGCCTACAGCACCTGGTCTTCCTACGTGGTCTCCCATCCAAGTACTAACCAGGCCTGACCCTGCTTAGCTTCCGAGATCAGACAGGATGGGGCTTGTTCAGGGTGGCATCACCATAGACTTTTATGCAGCGATTTAATAATCATAGTTTATTTTTTTTCTTTGTTTAAATAAAATTAGATATATTTCAAGGGTGTTTTTCCTTCACTGGTATTATTAATCCAGACAGAGGTTTAGCCTAAAATGCTAAAATAAGTTACTCGATTTATTTATGTACCAGGAAAAAAATAATTCATTATTAATTTATTCAGTATTTTAACTGATATCTTTTACAGTTTTAAAATTAAAAGTCCTTTAAAATAAATATTGTAACTTCTTTTTCTTAGTACAAGAGGAAACCATATTTATTGTAAAAATTTTAGAAAATACAGTTAGCACAAAAAACTGTAAAATTACTAATTCAGTCCTTGTTATTTATATTTTATTGTATATACTTCTACTTAATAGACTTTTTTTGTTAAATAGGTTCATTTGAAGCTGAACCTGATCTTCAAGGAAAACATTCTTTTATTATGTTATTTGGATGCATGAAAGAAAGAACAAACCCTCTAACTTTAATGTTAGTTTTTGTCAGCATTTAGTGATCAGTGCTATCTGTTGAAGATATTGTCTACTTACAACGTTTATTTCTGATTTTCTCCAACTCAAATATAAAGCTAAAAACCTCTTTTCCTTTGAGCAATGTTTGCCCTAAGTGGGTAGGTGACAGGTATGTCCTTATAGAGAGAAACTTTGCTAGTTTGGCCAAGCTGCTTGATTTATTTGAATAGGTCATTGGTTCTCATATTGTGGTCCCTGGTCCAGCAGCATTAACATCTGGGAGCTCATTAGAAATGCAGATTCTCAGGCCCCATTGAAATCTTAATGAATCAGAGCTTTGGGGGTGGGACCTAGCATTCTGAATTTTAACAAGTCTTCTGAGTTGTTCTGAAGCACACCTAAATTTGAGAACCACTGGCCTAATGTTCTCTGTGGCTCTAGGAAGTGCTTTAGGCCCTTCGCATTGTATGAAAACGGACTGATATTCTGTTTATTCTCTTAGCCACCTTTGAATTTTGCCTGAAATGTAGGTACAGATGGGCAGTGATCTTTCTCTTTTTCACTGATGTACACCATGCACCTAGAATAGTGTCTGGCACAAAGAAGACCCTCAAACGTGTCTATTCAATGAAGGAATGAATTTAGAGCTACTACTTTCTTGGGAGAACTGGGGCATCTACCTGGGTCCCCATGCGTGGACAGGTATGAAGTGCTTCACCCTCTCCCTCTTTTCTGAATATCATTAAAATTCAGTTGTTATTTCTGTCTTTAAAGATATCTCAAGAGACTTATGAAAGATGTTGATAGTGTGGCCTTCTTTCAAGTGTGATTTCCTTTGGAGGCATTTGGAAATGGGAGAGGTTGTATTAGGTGACTTCTAAGATTTTCCTGGTCTATATATCTGTAAGTTCTTGTGTACAAGAAGGAAAATTTCAAGGATATATGAAAAATGAGAAAAAAAACAATCGAAGACTGATTTTTAATCGAGGGGCATGGGGATAATATATTGGATTTCCTGGGTTGAGTCACAAGAGATTATTTTAGGCATGTGTCCACAAATTGGAATCATCAGAGGGGATGATTTACTGGGGAATGTAAAGACTATTGTGTTCTCCAGAGAGACTTTCTGTAATCCAAGTCAGAACAAACAGAAAGGGCAGTTTATTTGTTTAAAACATGATAAAGGAGATCAGCTTTGGCTTGTTGCCAAACCAGGAACCATGATGAGATTTTGTATTTTAGGAAGCACATTTATTCATTCGACATGTAGTTATTGAGTACCAGTTGTATACTCTGTAGTATTGCTCTGAGCTCTGGGGATAGACAATGGACAGGGGTAGTCCCTGCTTTTATGGAGCTAGGTCTGGTTCAGGAGCTGGGCAGCGAGCCAGAGCTCCAATGAAAATAATTACAAATGTGATATGCAGTTATTTTCCATTTATTTTTGTCTGTTTAAGAAATTAGATAGCTCTGTTTGGGGGTTGTACTTTGAAACTATTTAGTATTGTCCTTCTGTAAATTTTCAGTTTATTTATGTTCGTTTATATTAGTATGTATTTGAGGTTTCCTGTATTCTTAATGGGTTATAATTGTTATTGTTATTATTTAATATCAAATTGTTCCAGATTTTGCTAATAGGAGCCCCTTCAGCCTCGCCCCTCTCTCTCTCTTTTTAAATGTCCCGTTATTTTAAAAAGTACTTACTTATTTTCTAGTGAAACAAGCCAAAGGTATTCCAGGCTTACTTTATACGTTCTCTGTCCTAGCACTGGAGTCAGCCATTTCTCCAAGGAACATTTCTTTCACTGGATAATGGTATTTAGAAGCCAAGATCTGGGCAGTAGTTATGCTCATGGTGACTGGAGTATCTCTGTTCTCAGGCCCCTCACTGGGCAAAGCTAGAGAATGTATATACTATGCACATACTTCTATATATATCTACTTACCAATTATCTATATCACTCTATATAGTGAAAACCACAAGTTCACAGTGATTTCTCCAATTCTAGTCTAACACCACAGGGTTTATTCCATTTTTCTCTCTTCCATATTTGAAACTCCACATGCTGAGCTGTGCATACCCCACCCCCAGGAGACATTCCTGTCAACTTTCTCAGGCTCCGACACCCTGGGTTGGATGCCATCCTTGTCCTGCTTGGGCTCCAACTCCTTGTATCAGGCTTCTGCCCTCATTGATACCCCCAGTAGGCCTGGTGGTCTGTGTCAGGCTGCCTCTTCATGTAGATAGCTTCTTTATCCTGCTTGTCTTGACTTCCCATGTCTGGCTGCCCTTTTGTGCAGATATCCTTCGTGTTGGACTCTGGGCCACCACCATGTGTGAGTACTCCCCTCACTTGTACAGGCTTCTGTACCTCACTCCACCATATGGCTCCCCCTCCCGGCCTGGCTCAGATATCTGCCTTGCTCACCCCCTACACATAGACACATCCATTTAGGAAAATTTTTCAGGAAGTGAGAGGAGACTAGAATAAAATTTTAAATCTATTTTTTTTTCAGGCGAGGCAGCCCTTGGTTGACCTCACAGATTGCAAGGACCTTGTCAGTTTACAATCCCTTATTTTTTAATTATTTTTTTTTTACGGCTATAGCACCTGGTCTTCCTAGGTGGTCTCTTATCCAAGTACTAACCAGACCCGACCCTGCTTAGCTTCCGAGATCAGACGGGATTGGGCTTGTTCAGGGTGGCATAGCTATAGTAAATCTATTTTTATATATTATAAATTTATACAAAAAAAGGTTTTTTTAAAAAAAAACAAACTTAAGTGG